GGCCTCTTCTCTGCAGTTTACACTCATCTACAGGCCAGGAGACTGAAGTTTACACTCATCTACAGGCCATTTCTCTGCAGTTTACACTCATCTACAGGCCAGGAGACTGAAGTTTACACTCATCTACAGGCCATTTCTCTGCAGTTTACACTCATCTACAGGCCAGGAGACTGAAGTTTACACTCATCTACAGGCCATTTCTCTGCAGTTTACACTCATCTACAGGCCAGAACTCTGCAGTTTACACTCATCTACAGGCCAGAACTCTGCAGTTTACACTCATCTACAGGCCAGGACTCTGCAGTTTACACTCATCTACAGGCCAGAACTCTGCAGTTTACACTCATCATCAGGCCAGAACTCTGCAGTTTACACTCATCTACAGGCCAGAACTCTGCAGTTTACACTCATCTACAGGCCAGGACTCTGCAGTTTACACTCATCTACAGGACAGCGGTCACTCTTTCAGGGATGAGGATGTTCTCATCCTTGATAGAGAGGAACGTTGGTTTGAGAGAGGAGTAAAGGAAGCCATTTTTGTGAAGAAAAACCGTCCAACATTAAACAGAGGTGGAGGCCTCCGTTTTCAGTTGTCCTCCTCCTACAATGCTGTCATTGCAAGTATGACTCCGCCTCCTGTGAGCAAAAGGTATGAATCAGGGCCCCAGTGGTAGTCAGGTGATGGAGCACATGATCCTCTATGAACAATAGAGCCAATCAAGGCACTAACAATCTATTGTTTGACTGATGGCCCTCTTTTGCATGTGACTAACCTGTTTGTCCACCATGTGGAGGCAGTGCTTATAAGTCTGAGTTCACCTGAAACTCATCAGACTGAAGAAGTCTCTGGGGGAGAGAGAAAACATTTCATTAAAGAAGAACCCATCTGGACGTCCTACTTATTTTTCTCCTTTTCGAGTCTCTTCATGTTTTCAAGTCTTCTCTTAAAACTTACTTTTTCTCACTGGCTTTTAACTCAGCTTGAAGTGTTGTTGTTTTTTTTACAGTTACTGTTATTGGTTGTGTATAGTTCGCTTTTATTTCTGGTTATTGTGTTCAGCACTTTGGTCAACTGTGTTGTTTTTAAAGTGCTTTATAAATAAAGCTGGAGTGGAGTGGAATAAAAGGCTATAATTCAGCCAGTTTTGAACATATAGCTGAAAATTTATTAGAGAGCAATCTTTAACAAATCTAAATACAAATACAAAATGTAAGATTCCCACCCACTTGTCAGTTGTTTGGGGGTGGCACCAGTGTCAGGGGTGGCACTTGTCTCCCCAGCCACCCCTCTGGCTCCACCCCTGCTGTAAGGACAGGTACAGTATCAGTTATTTGATTATTATTATTATTTTAGTAACAGTACACATTTTGTCTTTACAGAAGCTATGGTGACCTATAGGATGTGAGGGTGGTGGTTGTTTACTGTATGAATTAAACCCTTGAAGGAATCCACACAGCCACTCACGCCAGAGGTTTCCACTTATGTTGAGTTTTGGTCAAACCGTGAAAATGAGGCTGACCACAAATCAATGAGCTACTGACATTTAAACTTTAGCTCAATATCTGTAAAACTGACTGTGGTTCAGCTGTTCTTGTTTTTTTTTTTTTTTTTTTTTTTTTTTGGGTGGACGTGGCAGCCATCTTGGGGAACCTACAAGTCGTCGAACTTGACGCTCACACTGTTAACAGCTTCCTCTATAAAACATAATGAGATCAATAGTCCAGCTCGGAGAATCTTTAGAGGAAAGGTTAATGTGTCTGTTCAGTTCTCATTAAAGGGTTACAACTCTGTCTGCCTGTAAAAATACTACAGAAACACATCAGTTGTTCTGCAGAAACGTGCACTTCCTCTGTGACTAACACTGATCTGACTGGCTGCTTCTTCTCGCAGGAAGAGAGATTAAGAACAATGATAAGAGGCAGAGAGAGAGAGAGAGAGAGAGAGAGAGAGAGAGAGAGAGAGAGA